GGCTCCCAGAGCAGGCAGTCCCTTGGCAGCCTCGCAGCCCCAGCCTAGGCCTGGTGGCCACCTTGGCATGGCCCTTCCAATAAGGATACTGACACATATCTTCCATATCTTGGCTATTGTAAATAATGCTGCAATGAACATAGGGGTGCATATATCTTTTTGAGTTAGCGTTTTAGATTTTTTCAGGTAACTGCCCAGAGTGGAGTTGCTAGGTCACATGATAGTTCTATTTTTAATTTTTTTGAGGAACCTCCATACTGTTTTCTATAGTGGCTGCACAATCCCACCAACAGTGCATAGGGGTTCCCATTTCTACACATCTTTGCCAACACCTGTGTTTGTTGATTTATTGATGACAGCCATTCTTATAGATATGAGGTGATATCTCATTGTGTTTTTAATTTGCATTTCCCTGATGATTGGTGATGTTGAGCGTCTTTTCAAATGTCGATTAGCTATCTATATGTCCTCATCGGAGAAATGTCTATTGAGGTCCTCTGCCCTTTTTTAATTGGATAATTTGTTGTTTTGTTGTTAAATTGTATGAGTTCCTCCTATATTTTAGATATTAACCCCTTATCAGATGTATTATTGGCAAAAATCTTCTCCCATTTGGTTGGTTGTCTTTTTGTTTCGTTGATGGTTTCCTTTGCTGCTTTTCGGTTTGATGTTGTCCCAATTTTTTGTTTGTTTGTTTCCCTTGTCTGAAGAGACATATTGAAAAAAATATTAGAGTGATGTCAAAGAGTTTCCTGCCTACATTTTCTTCCAGAGTTTTATGGTTTCGGGCCTTACGTTTAAGTATTTAATCCACTTTGAATTTATCGTATGTAGAGTAAGGAAATGATCCAGTTTTATTTTTCACAAGTATCTATCCAGTTTCCCCAGTACATTTATTGAAGAGACTGTATTTACCCCATTGTATATTATTGCCTCCTTTGTCAGAGATTAATGGCCAATATAGGCGTGAGTTTATTTCTGGGCTCTCTATTCTGTTCCATTGATCTGTGTGCCTGTTTTATGCCAATACCATGTTATTTTGATAACTATAGCCTTGTGGTATAGTTTGATATCAGGTAGCGTGATACCTTCAACTTTGTTTTTCTTTCTCTAGATTACTTTGGCTATTCAGGGTCTTTTGTAGATCTATGTAAATTTTAGGATTGTTTGTTCTGTTTCTGATAAAAATGCCATTGGTATTTTGATAGGAATTGCATTGAATCTATAGGTTGCTTTTTGGGTAGTATGGACATTTTCATGATGTTAATTCTCCCTATCCATGAGCATGGTATAGCTTTTTATTTATTTGTATTTTCTTCAATTTCTTTCTTCAGTGTCCTATAGTTTTCTGAGTACAGGTCTTTTATCTCCTTGGTTAAATTTATTCCTAAGTATTTTATTCTTTTTGATCCAATTGTAAATGAGATTGTTTTCTTAATTTCTCTTTCCGATAGTTTGTTATTTTTGTATAAAAGGCAATTGATTTCTGAATATTAATTTCATATCCTGCTACTAACAAATTGATTTATTAGTTCTAATAACTTTTTGGTAGAATCTTTAGGGTTCTCTCTATATAGTATCATATCATCTGCAAATAATGACAGTTTTACTTCTTCCTTTATAATTTGGATGGCTTTTATTTCTTTTTTTGTCTGATTGCAGTGGTTGGGACTTCCAATACTATCTTGAATAAAAGTGGTGAAAGTGGACATTCTTGTCTTGTTCTTGATATTAAGGAAAAAGCTTTCAGCTTTTTATCACTGAGTATGATGTTAGCTGTGGGTTTGTCACCTATGGCCTTTATTATGTTGAGATATGTTCCTTCTGTCCCCTCTTTGCTGAGAGTTTTTATCAAAAATGGATGTTGGATGTTGTCAAATGCTTTTTTATCTCTTGATATGAATATATGATTTTTATCCTTCATTTTGTTTATGTGGTGTATCAAATTAATTCCTCTAGACCTTGAATGGAGTTATCGTTACAGGGAAGTATACATTCTTCAAAATTCATCAAACCGTACACTTAGGGGAATTGTCCTCTATATAAATTATGTCCCAATAAAGTTAATTTCAAAAGAAAGAACTTTATGTTTATGGCCATGCTACCCTGAACAAGCCTGATCCCGTCTGATCTTGGAAGCTAAGCAGGGTCAGGCCTGGTTAGTACTTGGATGGGAGACCACCTAGGAAGACCAGGTGCTGTAGGCGTAGAAAATAAAAAAATAAGGGATTGTAAGCTGACAAGGTCCTTGCAATCTGTGAGGTCAACCAAAGGTTGCCTCACCTAAAACAAAAACCAAACCAAACAAACAAAAACCAAAACAACAAAAAAGAAAGAACTTTAAAAATTGAGACTTCCTTTAAATGCCAAGAGATATTTAAATTTATTTATTTATATTTATCAGGTTTCTCATAAATAAAATCAGAAAGTGATCATCACCAGGCCACCTTCATACATGATCACAGGAGGCTGGAGAGGAGGGACATTTTTTACACTTCGATCTTTTGAAATAGAAATCTGATTGTCTCAGACAACTACAGCGGCAGGGACAGTGCATCACAAACAGCCTTGATATTCACTTCAGCGTTCATCTCTCACTCCATGGGTCAGCTAGGCGGCTCTGCCGTCTTGCCTGGGCTCCCAGGTTTGGTTTAGTTTTTCTCTGTGTGTTTCTCACACTTCTGGGACCAGCGGGAGCTGGCTGCCCACCTGGGTCTCCTCATGGCAGTGGTAGAAGTGCAGAAATTGGGGTGAGTGGAAGAACAGATGCCTCGAAGGCCCAACTGGGAAGGGGCACACTGTCATTTCCATCCCATTCCACTGACTGGAAAAGTCTGACAGCCAAGTTCAGGAACGAATGGGGCCATGGCACAGATGGACAGCACTTGCCTCAACCTGGAGGAGCTGCAGAGTCACCTGGCAGAATGTCGATATGGGGCGGGGAGAGAAGCTGGACCCGTCGTGCAATCTGCCATACCGATCCCATCCTATTGTTAATTACCATCATCACTTTGGGGAGAAAGACCCGATTTTTAAAAACAGCTTGGTCGAGGTACAATTTCTGTGCTATAAAGTCTATTTAAGTGTACAATTCCATGATTTTTAAGAAATTTACAAAGTTGTGAAACTATGACAACTGTAAAAAAATAATATAAACAGAGCTACCTTAAAAATGGCATCAGACTCTTAGAAACGATAAACAGATATGGCAAAGTTGCAGGGTTCAAAATTGATGTGCAAAAATCCATTGCATTCCTGTATACTCACAGTGAAATGTCAGAACGAGAAATGAAGGAAACAAACCCATTTGCAATGGCAACACAAAGGATAAAATACCTAGGAATAAACTTAGCAAAAGAAGTGAAGGCATGTACACTGAAAACTACAAGACGCTGTCGAAAGAAATTGAAGAAGACACAAAGAAATGGAGAGATAGTTCGTGTTCATGGATTGGAAGAATGAACATAGTTAAAATGGCCATATTATCCAAAGCTCTATACAGATATAATGCAATCCCCATTAAAATCCCCATGGCATTTTTCAAAGAATTAGAACAAAAAACCATCAGATTTGTATGGAATCACAAAAGACCCTGAATAGCCAAGCGATCCTCAGAAAAAAGAACAAAGCCAGAGGTATCACACTCCTTGACTTCAAATTCTGCTACAGAGCAACAATAATTAAAATAGTATGGTGCTGATAGAAAAACAGACACACAGACCAATGAAACAGAATTGAGAGCCTCAACAAACCCACACATATAAGAGCAACTAATTTTCAACAAAGGAACAACTAATTTTCAACAAAAGTGGAGAAAGGAAAGCCTCTTCAATAAATGGTGCTGAGAAAATGGGAAAGCCACATGCAAAAGAGTGAAATTAGACTGCTATCTGATACCATACAGAAAAATTAAAGTGGATTAAGAACTCGAATCTAAGACTTGAAACAATAAAATACATAAATAAGACAATAAAATACATAAGTGAAAAACAATAGAAAAAAACATAAGTGCTAAACTTATGGATCTTGGTCCTAGAGGGGTTTTTGTGAACTTGACCCTAAAGGCAAGGGAAGTAGAAGCAAAAATAAATAAATGAGACTATACCAAATTAAAAAGCTCTGCACAATCTAAAGAAACCATCAACAAAACAAAAAGGCAATAAACTGAATGGGAGAAGATATTTGCAAATGATAACACCTATAAGGAGCTAATATCCAAAATATATAAAGAACTCGCACAACTTAACAACAAAACAATCCAATTAAAAAATGGGCAGAGGATCTGAACAGACACTTTTCCCAAGAAGACATACAAATGGCCAACAGATATATGAAAAGATGCTCAACTTCGTTAGCTATAAGGGAAGTGCAAATCAGAACCACAATGAGATACCATCTCACACCTGTTAGAATGACTATTATCAATAAGATAAGAAATCACAAGTGTTAGAGAGAATATAGAGAAAAAGGAACCCATGGACCCTGCTGATGGGGATGTAAACTGGTACAGCCACTATAGAAAATATATGGACGTTCCTCAAAAAATTAAGACTGGGATTACCATATGACCTAGCAATCCTTCTTCTGGGTATCTACCCCCCAAAATCGAAAACATTTATTTGTAAAGATATATACACCCCTATGTTCCTTGCAGCATTATTTGCAATAGCCAAGACATGAAAACAACCTAAGTGTCCTTTGACAGATGGCTGGATAAAGAGGTGGTACATACACACAACAGAATACTATTCAGCCATAAAAATGACGAAATATTGCCATTTGTGACAACATGGATGGATCTCGAGAGTATCATGCTAAGCGAAATAAGTCAGATGGAAAAGGACAAGAACCATATGATTTCACTCGTATGTGGGATGTAAAACAGAAAGCAGCAAATGAACCAAAGCAACCAACCAAGCAGACTCACAGACACAACAGGATGGCGGTCACCCGAGGGGAAGGAGCACGGGGGGAAGATGAAGAGGGTAAAGGGGGTCAAATAAATGGTGACAGAACGAGACTAGACTTTGGGTGGTGAGCACACAACGCGATATACAGATGTTTTGTTATGAAGTACACTCGAAACTTATTAATGTTATGAACTAATGTTACCCCAATAAACTTAATAAAAAATGAAAAAAAATATAAAAACGAGGTCAGAGCTGCCATCCAAGAGGAATCGCCTTGCACATCTGATGCCTCAGACCTTTGGAATGTTAAAATGGCAAAATAACCTTTGGACCGGGCCTAAAGAAGCCTGTGCCCCAAAGAACTGGTTGCAAAGATAACAAGAAAGCCGATATTATGACCACTGGACGGAAAAGTAAAACATCCTTTAGAATAAACATCGCTATGTTTATTTATCTGCACTTACAGAAATGCCCGCCTTCTGTTGATGTAATTAACATTCTATTGATGTAATTGTGCCCCTTCCTTTTCTCATAAATACCCTTTCCCTCTGCCTCCGAATTGGAAAACTATTTTCGTTTCTGCCTGAATCATTCTTCCCAAATAGCTATTGTTTTGGACCTCGAATAAACACCTATTGTCTCTTACTTTGGGTTTTATTTTCGGGTTAATGTTAAGAAACCTCGTGCCCTTTAGTAGTCAACTCGTCCATCCCCAGCCCAGACAACCACGAATCTACTTTCTGTCCCTCTAGATAAGCATTATTTGGACATTTTTAATATATGTTCTTCTGTGTCAGAAAGGGCTTCTTTCACTAAGCATAACATTTTCGAGGTTCATCCATGCTGTAGCATGTGTTAATACTTCCTTTTTTATTGCCAAACAATATTCCAGTGTCCAGATATCCTACATTTTGGTCCGGCTCCTTGGCACTGACTCTTAAGACCACCCTCTGCAGGTACAGCTGAGCGGGACACCACCCATGAACCACCTCCCCTGGGGACTCACCTCAACTGCAGCACCAACCCAGAGGACATCAAAACGCCCGCCAGGTGACTCCCTGGCCCCTTTGTGGGTAGCTGGGATGGGGGTAGAGGCGGGGTCTGGCCTGGGTTTCTGTGCCAAGCCCGCAAGTCATTTCGGAGCATGTGTGCCCAGCTCTCTGCTGGCCCCACTGGAGAGCCAGAAGGCCTAGAAATGCAGTCGCCGCCCTCGGAGCGTGGGCAGAGGCTGTGGGCAGACGCTCTGGGGACTCAGGCCCGTCTGCACGATCTCTAGGGACAGGGAGTGATTCCCGAGCGCCCACTTGCCTTCTTCCACTTCCATCGTCATCGGTCTTGCCTCTTGCTTCTCTCCCTACAGCCCTGTCCCCTCCCGGATGCCCCTGTCCAAGGGGCATGGAGGGGGTGTCACCCCCCCCTCGGGGTACAACTCCATCTCAACGAGTGCTGCCGTCTCTTCCTCCTCCACGGGAAGGCCCCGTCTGGTTTCAGGTAATGATCACACCCCAGGAGTCAGGGCCTTCCTGTCAGGGGGTCAGAAGGAGGGTGGCTTCTCCCCAGGTGATGGCATCCACTGGGTGGGGAGACCAAGGTGGACCCCAGGTTTCTGGCCTCTTCGGCTGGGGCTGCGGCTCTCACTTGCTCGTGATTCTTCCTTAATTCCTGTGGACAGGGGTTTCACTCACAGCTTCCTCCCCACGACCCATAACTGCCACTCAGAAACTACTCGGTTCACGCTGAGGGCAGTTCATTTCAGAACCTGAAGTTCCAGTCTTGGGCCCTAGGTAGCGGTAGTTCTCAGACCAGGCGTTCTCAGAACGTGGTGCTGGACTTGCAGCATCAGCAACTTGTTAGAAAAACAATTTGGGGGCCCCGCCCCAGCCCTACCGAACGGAGTCTGCATTTTCACTTGGTTCCCAGGAGATTCATGGGCACGTTAGAGTTTGAGAAGTACTTCCTTGCCTCGTACTACTTTTTAACCTCGAAAAATGCACTAAAAGCAGTAACTAGTTACACCATCTTCGTAAACAGCAAAAGGAAAGGAGGAGGCAAGTTAAGTACTAAGATGTGAAGAAATAGACCTATCAGCGCGTGGGTGCTGGAGGCCCCCTGGCCCGCCCGAGCGGGATTCTGCCGTTTACCCTCAGGCCGACCTTGACCGAGTTCCTTGACCTTTGAGAGCCTCCGTGCCCCTCGTTTGTAAAACGGAGATGGCAATGGAGCCCTGTGGCACAGGGCTGTGGATTCCCTCATTCAGGGAGCACTTGCTGGGGCGGAGCAGACCCCATATCTGCCCGCATGGAGCGTCCGTCTAGAGGGGAGGCTGGGAGTTTGAGCAGGCTTAGCACTTCGTTGTCTGCTTGTCGGCTGCCCAGGGCTGCACGTCACGCGTGCCCTCCTCCACGGTCCCCAGACCTCATCCCTTCGGACCTCAGTGCCTTCTTCATTCTGGTTCCTTGGCTCAATTTCTCACCCTCTAGAAACGGTTTGTTTTTTTCTCCCTATTAAGCCACCCGGGTGGAGCCAGGTGAGGGAGGGAAGGTGGGTAAAGGGCTGGACCGGGTAGATACAGGGCCTGGTTTCAGTCCTGGGAGCCACGCGGAGGCGAGAGCTGGCTCGCGTGCCCTGGCTCACGACCGTGATGTGGACTGAGGGCCTCTCCGTGTTCCAGGACCCGCGCTCCTCTGTCTGATCCTCGTGCTGGTCGTGGTCGTCGGCTCCAGCTCCTTCTTCCTGTGCCACCGCAGGGCCTGCTGGAAGTGGATTCGGCAGAGTGAGTGGATGTGTCCTCGGGGCCTCGGGGAGGGCCGGGCGCTCCGCGCTGTCCTGGCCTGGGTGCCCACCCCACCCTGCCCTCCGAGGCTCTCTGAGGCTGGCATCTCCAGTCTCCTTCCTGGTATCATTTCAGAGCTCCACCTGTGCTACCCAGTCCAGACCTTCCGGCCCAAGCCGGAGCCCGTGGGTAAGTGTCCGGATGTCCAGAGGGGCTGCTCGAGCCACATGGACATGTGACAGCTCTGGGCCCTGGGTTTGGGGCTCCCTTGGGGCTCCCTCTGTATGGCTTCCCACAAGTACTCCTCTCTCCGACCTCGTCCGTGATGAGAGTGTAACGCGGGTGGAAACTGACGGCACGGACGGTGCAGGCGGGGAGCTGGCGTGAAGGTTTGGAGGTCTACTTAGCTTTCCGGGGTTCCTCCGCAGCGCCCCAGGAGGGGCTTCCTGAATGCCGTTCGTTCCTCTCTCCCCTCTCTCCCCACTTCCCAGCCTCCCATTCCTCCCATCCCCTCTCTCGAGCTGGCAGCCAAGGGGCATTGGGGTCAGTAGGGCAGGCTGGTAGGGCTGGAATCCTGGTGCTGCTCCTTACAAGCCCCGTGACCTGGGTGATTTACTCAATTCCTCTGCCACTTAGTTTCCCCGTCTGTAAAATGGGGACAGTAGGACCTACTTCAGAGGGTGGCGTGTGGCTCAGTCGAGATGGGGCCTGTTGAGCACTGTGCAGAGTGTCTGCACGCGGTCTGTGCTCCATGAACCGTGGCCACTGTTTGCTGACCGGCCTGTGTCTGGGGCCTCTTTCCTCACCAGGAATCCCAGGCCTTCCTGAGTTCTAGGTTGTTCTGAGCCCCTCCCTGGTCCTTGCTCTCTGATCCCTTTCCAGGCTCCAGGCCACCTCCTCCAGGCAGCCTTCCAGAGCTCCTGGCCCTCCTCTCCCATCCAGGCAGCAGTACCCACCTCTTACCTGGTGGCGCGGTGTCCCCAGTCATCTTGTGCCAAGTGTCTTCTCCCTCCCGTGCCGCCCCTTTCAAGGCGGGGCAAGGCCTCCCTCAGCAGCTCGTGCACTGGGCCCTGGCCACGGGGCAGGAGCAAACACAGTTCCAGGCAGGCTCCGCTGGAGGCTCTCACTGACCCAGGAACCCCAGGGGAGATGGGTGCTGATCTTCATTCTGTAAGGAGGTGGCTAACTGGCCCACAGCTTCATAAGTGCCACTACCAGACGCTGGTCCTTGAGATTTGGGTTTTGTTTGGAGAGGGCTCAGTCCTGTCCCCTCTGCCTTCCTCCTCCCAAGCTCTATCCACCACCCCATGTCCACCCGGGAGCCAAGTGGTCAGCCCAGGCCAGGTCATGGCCCTGTGGCCCCCGTCTCCCCAGGGCCCTTGGAGACCCTTGCTGTAGCCTGACTTTTGACTTGGGCACAAAAACAGTCCACTGAGGCATGTTTTGAATTTGATGAGTTTCACAAGCAGGTGCTAGTGTTCCCTTCACAAGGGGGGTTTTTGTGTTTTGATAGTTTCAAGCCTTTTTCCATGAGCTGTCAGGCTCAGTGTCTCATTGAAACCCATGTTTGCTTTCTTGACATTTTTCTAGTATTAAAATTTCCATTGCCGTCAGTTTATTTTTTTTCTTCGAACCTTTGTGATAGCAGTTTTGTCACATACAAAAAATAGAGAGAGAGAGAGAGAGAAAGAAATAAAAAAAAACACCTTCCCTTCAGAAGCCAGGCCTACAAGGAACCCCGAGCCCTGAGACTCAGTGGTGGCCATCCAGTTTGGGGCTGGTTCTGACCCTCTGGGTTCCGGTGGGTCCCTGGGGGTCTGGGTCCCCAGGCCTGAGACGGAAGGAAGGTGAGACCAGGGTCGGCACACAGGGCACAGGATGAGAACAGACTGAGCAGGGTGGACACCCCGTCCCTCTGGAGCTATGGGGGCCACAGGGGTGAAGGAGCATTCATTCACTTATTCATTTACATATTCAAATCACATCACTGAGCTCTTCCTAGTGGCTCTGTGCTGGGTACAGAAACTGTCCTAGCTTAACCTGTGTCAGTTGCTCAAAAAGACTAAAGGCCAGCAGGACAGAAGTGGGCGCTCCAGCTGTCCCCGTCCGGGAACTGCAAGGCTGAGGCAGCACTCGGTGTGACAAGCAGTTCATTTGTCACCACTTATCACCCCGCTTCACCATGAGGAACCAGAGGCACGGGAAAATGAGGGAATTTGTTTAAGGCCATCTGATTAATAAGCAGGACAACCAGGATTATGTGGGTGGTGAGATTTTTTGTTAAAAGGGTCTTTGACCCTCATACTATTGACATTCGGGTCCAGATCATTCTTTGCCGTGGGGGGCTGTCCCGTGATTGTAGGGTGTTAGGCAGTTTCCCTGGTCTCTCCACCCACCGGACACTGGCAGACAAACAACAATGTCTGCAGACTTTGCCAAATGTTCCCTGGGAGGGAAATCGTTTCTGGTTGAAAAACACTGATTAAAATTCTTTTAATCTTTCATTTTAATGGACATCAAAGTCATTACTTTATAGGTTACTCCAGGCAAGTTTAAATTAAAAAATGTTTTCTTTGTTTTGAAACAATTTCAAACTTACAGAAAAGTCTCAAGCACAGTACAAAGAACTTACTTTTTCTGACCCATTCGAGAGTAAGTCACTGGCTTAACGCCTTACCATCTCGAGATTTTAGTGTGTATTTCATACACCATCAGAGCATATTTTCACACGACTGTAGTAAAACCATCGAAATCACCTTGATGCATCACCACCCACTAATTCTCAGACCCCATTCGAGTTTCTTCTTCTATCCCAATAATGTCCTTTATAGCAAAATAATCCATCATGCTGCATTTGGTCGTCGTGCCTCTGGAGTCCCCTTGACTTTGGGTCTGTTCCTGTCTCTTCCATCGCATCCACAACCTTGCCACTTTCAAGATCCCACCTCGAAGTTGCTCTCTCCTCCTTGGTAATTGCTAAGTCTTTTGAAGGGAGGTGCTTTGAGGCCATGTAACTAGCCTTAGGCTGGCTCCCGTGTCCTTTCTTCCCCATCCTTTTGTGTCCGGAGCACTTCCAAGATGTTCCCATCTTAGCTCGTACTTTTCCTGTCCCCACCCTGGAGTCCGGGGATGTGAAGGAAGGATGCCAGTTGCTGAAGCCTGGCTGAACCTCTGTGCCAGACTCCTCCCTTGAGTCTCTTCTGCTTCCCATAGCATCTGGGACCCCAGGCCACAGAGGGGATGGGGCTGAAAGGGGAGAGCGACGGGGGTGGAAGGGATCATTAACTCATGAGTCAGAACTCAGGTGCTCAGTGGCAGTGGCCCTCGGGGCAGCCCCGTGATACCATGTCCTTGTTACGGGGAGCTGGCACCCTGGCTGTGTTTACGGGAACATCACAGTCATTCCAAAAGCAATGGAACCAATAAAGGAAGACAGTGGACTTAAGTGGCAGTTTTAAGGTAAAAGCACTTAGGAAATCTGACTTCTGTACGTGGCACAATTTGTTCTGGGTCTTTATCAAAGTATACATGTGGGTTATGACATGGCTAGAGGTATGTGTTGATACCTTCTGGATTCTACCTTTCCACCTTCATATTATTCTGTGCTTATTTCTCAGAATCAGTATCGAAAGCTGGTTGTCTCTTCGGCGTGATAGAGTACCAAGCCACATAACGTCTTGAGACGCACTATGTGCTAAGCAGTGTCCTGGGCGCCTTCCCTTTTTAATGTTTTAATTTAAAAATTTTTTTAAATAAACAATATTTTAGAGCAGTTCTAGATTTACAGAAAACTTGAGAAGATAATAGAGTCCCCATATACCCTTTAGCTAGTTTCCTCTCTCATTAATTTCTAACATTAGTATGGTGGGCAATTTGTCACGATGAAAGAACTGATGTCGCATTTATTAACTAAAGCCCATAGTCTATTCAGATTTAGTTTTTACCTAATGTCCCTTTTCCTGTTTCAGGATCCCACCCAGGACACCACATTACGCTTAGTCCCCAGCCTCCTCTGGGCTGTGATAGTTTCTGACTTTCCTTGTCTTTGACGACCTTAGCAGTTTTGAGGGGGACTGCTCAGTTATGTTGTAGGGCAGACTTTTCTGTAAGTTTGAAATTGTTTCAAATTCTGTTGGAATTTGTCTGGTGCTTCTCTCCTGACCAGATTGGGTCACAGGTTTAAGGTGGCACCCCGTGCAGGTACAGGGTCATTTTCATCACCTCATATCAGAGGGACAGGATTTCAATGTGATTGATCACTGGGCTACTTTACTTTTGAGAGCTCATTTAATCTTTTTTTTTTTTAAACTAATTTCTTTATCTTTTAGTTACAGTTGACATAGAATGTTATATTAGTTTCAGGTGTACGATATAGGGATTAGATATTTATATAACTTATAAAGTGATTATCCCAATAAAACTAGTGCCCATCTGACACACCTAGTTATTACAGTATTATTGACTATAATATTCCTCATGGTATACTTGACAGACCCATGACTATTTTGTAACTACTAATTTATGTTTCTTAATCCTTTCCTGTGTTTCACTGATTTCCCCCAACCCCACCCACCTGGTAACCATCAAAATGTTCTTTATCTATGAATTTGTTTCTGTTTTGATTGTTTATTTTGTTGTGTAGATTCCACATGTAAGTGAAAACAGATGGCATTTGTCTTTCTGTGTCTGACTTAGTCTGCTCAGCACAATGGCCTCTAGGTCCATCCATGTTGTTGCAGACGGCACGCTTTCATTTTTTTTAATGGCCGAGTAATATTCTATTATATATATGTCCCACCTCTAATTTATTCATTCATCTACAGATGGAAGCCCAAGTTGCCTGTATATGTCGACTATTGTAAATAATGCTGTGGTGAGCATACGCATGCGCTTGTCCCTTCGTAGCAGTGTTCTGGGTTTGTTCGAATAAATACCCAGAAATGAGAGCTCATTTAATCTTCACAAAAACCCTCCAAAGCTGGCACGTTTTCCAGATGAGGGGACTAAGGCCGGGAGAGGTGGAGTAATGTGCTGGGGTTTCATTGCCAACGCTCAGGATTGCTGGGCGGCCTCATCGGCCTCATCGGCCTCGTCGTTAGGCATCTGGCTTGTTGTCAGCTTTCTGGTGGTTATGAGTGCCCCTGCTGAGCTGGGCCTTGTTTTCGTGCCTTTATTTCCTGAGGGTGTGTCCCAGAAGAGGGATTACTGGGTCAAAAGGTTTTTATTGCCAGATGGCTCTTGAGAAAAGTGGAACCAGTTCACAGGGCACACGCAGCTGTGTTCCTGTTTACCCATGTCCTCTCCAAGACTGAATTTTGTCACCTTTAGTTATTTTCTCTCGTTATTTGTCACACTTCCCCTACCCATCCCACCATCCCGATGACTTGGTGGCAAATCACAGTTGCTGTTTGCAAAACTCGTCACTCTCAAAGGACGAAGATTCGGCTTCACTGACGTCATTTAAAAGAATGTGCCTCATACCGGAGAATATTTCCCAAAGTGATGGCTTAGGCAAGGGACAGTGGCTGGCCGGGGGAGTGAGCCATGGCCTCCCAAGGTGGCCACTCCACTGGGTGCAGCAGTTACCAGGTGGAATAAGCTCGGCCCATTTGTTAAGTCGAGAATCAAGAACTGTGTCATTTTACACATGTACTTTTCATCATCGTCCTGGTCTATTTCCACATTAAACGCGCACACTCCGTGTGCTGATGGGCATTTAAGAGGGACATGTCACAGCGTTTCCCACACTGGCCTGGTGACCACCCAGCTCGTCCGGTCTGCCCATCTTATTTGTGTTATCGTGGCTGCTTGGCTTCCAGCGAGTTTTCAGCTAGGATTCAGGGCTAGTGATTCTGCAGAACTACTGAAACCAGAGAGAATGTTCTGGAGGTCACTTAGCTGGCATGCTGGCATCTCCAACAGATTTCTCTGCTCAGGTGTGCATACCTAACCGTAAGGTATTCCCTGTCTCTGTAGGAGGATCATAAGAGGCTGCGCATCCCTGCGCTGGGAGTTGATTTGCTCCAGGAGAGGCCAGATGGGCACCATTGCTGGCTTTCTGAGCCATGGTTAAATGTACACATACACTTGGCCGTGACCTGGCACCCTACTTAATATGAGAGAAAAATTGGAACGGAGGGTGGGAGTTTGGGAGGAGGAAAGAGAGGTTGTGCCCTAAAGAGCATTGTGTCGACACCTCCTGAGCCCACTGAAGGGTCGGATTGCAGGGAGTGGGGTGGGTGACTGATGAGCAATTGTCCTTTTCTTTGAAGGTGATCACATGGGCTCTTTCAGGCATAGTTAACAGAACACCGAACTCAGGCTGACCTGAGCCGGAAGGGCTCCAGGGTTGCCTGGCTTCAGGAATGTCTGGCTGGGTGTTCGGAGCCGTGCTCAGGGCCCATCGTCCACTCTATCATCCCGTCTCGAGGTCGTCCATGTGTGTGGTGGGATCTGAGGAGTTCTGGGGAGTTCTGGGGGGCTACCTGGTAGTGGCAGTAGCTCCCGAACAACTTCTGAGCCAGCAGAAGCCACCTTGGCTCCAGCTGGGGCGGTGGCTCTCCTGAACCACTCTCCGTGTGGTGGTGGGGGGCAGGTGGGCTGGGGGGATCCAGTGTGCAGAGTGGCTTAGTGGCTGGAGGAGAGCTGGGGTTCCCCATTTCCCTGTCACTGGACGAGGGAGCTCCTGTGACCCAGGCCTGGGGGATGGACACTGACCCTGAAGCCTGAGCACTGCTCTCCAGACTAAGGGCCTAAGGACCAGCCGCCACTGGGAAAAAGGGGGAGCATTTGCCCACTCGGGGTGGGGCAGGACCCCCGTGAAATCATTGCTTTTTTCCTCTTTGCAGGTTCTAGGCCCCAGAGGAATCCCATAGTAAGTAGCCCCACCCGCCACCCCCAGCTTGGTGCTCCTAGAACTGACTCCTTCCCTAACATACCTGCTGGTTCTGAGAGCTGCCTGGGGTCGTTCCCCTTCCACAGGGCTGGGGGGGCGGGGCCGGCTCCCCCTGCAAGTTCAGACTGGGTCTGCCCTGTGCAGACGGCTCTGAGCAGCGGGGCCTCAGCCAGGTTCTGGCCAAGGTCACAGTCCCACCCCCACAGCAGCCTCCGGCTCTTGGCTCATCCCACCGGGGACTTCCAGAAGGGCCTCCCGGACCACGGATTTGGTCTGGGCCACTTCGAGTGCCAGGTGTGGTCGGGAGGAAGGCTGTATTTATTTCCCCTTTTCTCCTTTACTCTTCCATGAGTCGTGTCCTCACAGCTGAGGTGACAAATCAGGAGCTCAGCTTTTCAAAAACTTAACCATCATGCACCGAGGACTTACTAGGCACCTCGCTTTGTGCTTCTTTGAAGCTGTCCCAGGAGTCCTTACAACACACAGAGGTCAGTACAGAGGAACCAGAGGCGTAGGCAGAAAAGGTGGTTCCACAGCTGGAAAGTAGATTGACTAGGATTTGAGCCCAGGTTTGTGTGACTCCAAAGCCAGTGCTTTGAACAGTTACTGTGAACTGCCGCCTAGTGATGCCACCTTCATCTGCTCTTTATGAAGAGCTCACTTTGCCCAGGCTCCGGGCTGGCAGCTTTGCAAATGATCTTGCTGTTCCCAGGATCATCCAGGACGGGGCCCATACGCCAGGTTCTCACCAGGGCTTGTCCTCCCAGCTCTGTGCCCAGCCTCCCAGGGGCAGCTTGAGGAGTGGGAGCAGGGGCGCTGCCTTCCAGAGCTGAGGGAGGGGGCCCCCCACGTGGCTGGGTCTCAGATGTATGTGGTTCACCCACCTTTTTTTTCACTTATCAATTCTCCCATTACTTTTTTTTTAAACTCAAACATTCATACATGGAGAAAAGTTTCCATCCTTTAATTTTTAAACATAATAGACTCACGATATGAGTTCAATTTCAAATTGTGGGAGATCACATTCAAATGTGCTTCGGTCAGACAAGCTGCTGTTAAAATACCGAGAAATTTCAGGAAAAGGGCATCCATCGGTTTGTCATATCTTTTGGCTACGTGGGCCAACACATTAATAGTAAATTATTTAAAATGTATTTGGACTTCAAGTTAATATAAAAGAATATTGAGGATTATGTAGCTATATTTTAAGAATTACTCACACTCGTTCCATTTTGAAGGCTGCAGGTAACTGTTATACACGTGAACAGTTCACGAGACCATTTCTCTTTGCACTTCTTAAACCGACATTTTCTCTAAGACACAGCTATTTTTAGAATAAATTAGCGTAATTTTTAGAATACATTAGTGTAATAAGAAACGACTATCATCCAGGAGATCAAGGCTGGGCGGTTGGGGTGGCCTGGAGCTGACGTGTACAAGTGTGGATTCTGGAATGAGATACCAGGGTTCAAGTACTGGCCCAGACACTTCCTCACCCTGAGTAAGTCACTTGACTCCTTTGCGCCCCAGTTTCCTGATCTGTAAAATGGGGAGGGTGCTCATATTTGCCACCTCATAGGGTGGCTGTGAGGATTGATGTGTGTTGGGGGCCACACACGCAGTATGCTCTGTACGAGGTGGTCACGATCTTTATTATTCAGTCCAAGTTAAAAGCAGCATGACGTCCGGCACTCAGCACACAGGTGCATCGGCCTGTTGAGCCTGAGGAGCCTGGGGTAGAGGGGGGCAGCTTTAAAGCGGAGAGGGAGAGTCCCCGGAGCAGACAGTTCAGAGTCTTAGGGGAGGTCGGGGCACCTGGCATCAGTGCCCATTTCTGTGCCCGCAGCAGCTGAAGGGGAGCGTATCGGTGACAGAGCCCTGCGCAGACGAGCTGAGGTTAATGAGCCCCCTGGCCGTGGCGACCTGCCCCGACGTGGGGACAACCTGCCTGGAAAGGCTGCAGCTGCTGGATGCCAGCCCAGCTAGCAGCCCCCCGTCCCTTGGGGACGTTCCTGAGCCCCGGGTCACCGCGGAGCATACCAATAACAGGATTGGTGAGTTGGCCTGTTTGGGGGTTCCCGGTGTGATCGGGTTTAAGAGGGCAGTGGGGAGATGGGTGCTGGGCCCTGGGCCCCCAACTGGAACCAGAGACTTTGGGTCCAGAAGGACCAGCCAGGAAGAGATGTGGATACCCCCATGGGCCGTGGTAAGTATGAGATGCTTTTTGTGAAAGCCTTAAACTGGACTTGGGAACACCACGCAGCTTGTGAAATAGCAGTAGTTGTAACACTGGCTTCATAGGGCCAGGGTGACAGTTCGTGACGTGATCATCTGAAGCCGTCTTGGTGGGGTTTCTCCTACGTGGTGACTGCTCTTATTAAAGAGAAAAGTGAATGCCACCCCCAGCCCCCAGGGCAGGAGGAAAATACACAGTGACATAAGACCTGCCTCTTGCCCGATGCATTCCGGGCACTGTGCAAACGTCAGCCCTCACTGTCACACAACTGTCTGAGGATGGTGTCTTCTTCCCCTTTTCACAATTGGGGAAACTGTGGCTCGGGAGTGAAATGCTTCTGAGCACACAGCTAGGCAGAGCTGGGACTCGATCCCGCAGCTGCGAGACTCTGAAACCGCTGGCCTGTCCACACCACCACCACCTGGCCTCTGCGGGCACAGAGGCCAGCACTTCCCGAACAGTAGTCACTGTCCAACCCCAAACCTTCCGCCTCGGCCTCCCCCCGCCGAGTCCCCCTGCCTCCTACTTCTCTCTATGCTGGTATGACTGACTGGAATGTTTCTCCCAGACCACATCCCTGTCCATGTCACACCCTGCTTGAAACCCTCCGGGGGTCCCTTGGGATGAATTCCAGGATTCTTATTCCCGCGTTCAAGACTCTCCTGCCTCCTGACCCCGTGTGTCCTCCCACTCGGTGGCAGTTCCCTGAAGTTACCAAGTCCTCTCTCACCTCTGAGCTTCTCTGTGGGAGCTGCTTCCTCACCTGGGACAGCCAGCTCCACCCGCTTGAATCTAGTTAAGTCCTGATGTCCTGAGTACCCTGCTTATTTGCCTCCTCCTCCAGGAAGACTTCCCAGCCCTTTCTACTCTCCTGTGTAGACTAGATGCACCGCAGACCCAGGGCCTCCCCACCCAGCATCCATCCTCAGCACTGAGCAGTGCGACTGTATCTGTGGCCTTCCCCTGACCCCTCACCTATCTGTGAGCCCCCAGGGGTAGGGCCTGGGTGAGCTCCATCTCTGTCCCCTCTGGTGAACCGTCACCGGGATAAGGCATTTGTGATTGTCCTACACATTTCTATGGCAAACAGAAATGTGTTTTGGTGGACAGAACTCTTTTGGGCAGAGTCTTTTGTATCCAACTGAAACTTTCGGAATTGTGGTTTTCACAAGTTTTATCTGAAAAGAATGTATATTGGGAAATACCACCAAAGGCATGTCCTTCGCATTTCCTAAGAAGCCCTAATTTGGATGCTTGAGGCCATGCTGACTGCAGTGCCTGGAAGTGCAGGGGGCGGGGCAGGCAGGTACTGGGCCCCCAGGACAGTGGGGGCTGGGGAGTGGGGAGAGCCACGCTGGCCTGCAAGACTCGCAGGGGGAATAGTGGCGAGGGAAGGCCGTGGAGGTTCTCTCGGGACACTCAAGGGACAGTGAGCCCTCTGTCTTCCTGACACCACCCCAGAGGAGTACCACATCTTGTTCACTTCCCAAACTTTGGCCTGAGCTTCGTCACCTTCCCCCGGCACCAGGCAGGGCAGTCCCTTCCCCTGCCCCCCGAGCCCCCGCCCCCGCCACACACACCAGGACAGTGTCCTTGGATTCTGGAGCCCTGAGTGAAGCAGGAAGTCCAGCTTCTGGAAGACCCTCCCCTTCCCAACTCGGGGATAGGCGGCCCTGCGATACGGGACAAAGCCAGGAATCGGGAGCCAGGGAGTGTGAAGGGGTGACAGCCGAGCCCCCCCCACCGCTTTGGCTGCTTCTGCCTGGATAAACCCACCCCACTTCCTTCATAACCCTGCTCTGTGTCTTTCTGTCTCTTTCTCTCTCCTCTTCTCTGGCCCTGCCTGGCTTCCTCTGTGTCCTCTCTTACCTCCTGGGGCAAGGGGCCTGTGAGTCTTGATAAAGAGTACATGGCTGAGGCCTGGGACCCTGCTCTGTCTTTGAGGGTACAGGGGAGCCCAGCGCACAGCTCGTCTTACTCTCTTGGCCTTCTTTCCAGTTCTTGCTGCTACTTTGAACACTTCTTTCTTTCCTGGGTGTTCAAACCCAAACAGAAGGGCCAGGGTTATGCAATGGGGTGGAGGACACAGGGGCCCCAATAATATTTTGGGAGTTCCTGAATCAGCGAGATATGACAGAGTCACCCAGAGAGGCAGGGATCCCCAGCCCCTCCCCACCCCAGCTCTCAGGTTCCCTCCTGAGCTTCCGCATTCAGCCTCCTGAGTCCACGTGCTGAGCAGCTGGGAGCAGCTGGGAGCCGGGACCCTGCCCCGAGCTCGAGGCCATCAGGAGCGGGGCTGCTTCACCCGGGTGACAGTCCAGGCTCCACACTAGCCAGCTCCTTAGGCAGCTCTCCTAACTCCCTTGAGTCTCTGATGTCCCATGGAGGACTCGCACCTCTAACAGGCCGGGAAGGTCATTCATCCAGGTGATACGCACAGGCAGTCTTACTCTGTGTGAGGCAGGCACAGCTGTGGGGCCTGCCTCACAGGTGGGAGATACGCAATAAGCGTACACCCCGAAGTACTCGGCCCCGCGCAAAGCTGGCCGAGTCACAGGCTGCTGGTGATTGTTAACAGGTCTGCGGTTTCTGTAGGTGGTGACCAGCTGTCTGGGTTTGCTCAGACCGCAGAGCTTCCTGGGATGGGGGACTTCCACTGCTTCAAACCAGGAGCATCCCTGGAAACTGGGACAAGTCGGTGACCCCAGGTTTCTGCGTTAGGCTTGTGCAGGAGAGCAGAAAGGGCAGCCAGGTTAGGCAGGAGTTTCTTTGGGGACTTCTACTAATTACCTGGTGACCCTGGGCAGGTCATTTAACCACTCTGGCCTTCAGTGCTTTGTCCGTAAATGGGGATACTAACAGCCTGTTTCCATGGCAGAAGGGATGAGAGGATTCAGGGGCTAGAGTGTGGAAAGCGTCTGGAACAGCGTCCAGCGCAGCCTGACCTCTACCAGAGTTTTCTGGCTGTTGCGGTCGGCGTTTGTTGCCTGCTTTCTCCCCACGACTCGCTTTCTCTCCCACCCCCGTTCCCTCTTCCCTGTCCCATCCCTGCAGAAGGGCCGGGAAAACACAAGCGTCTCCTGTAAGTAGTAAGCGGGCCAGTTTTTAACTCCTCAGCACACAGTTCCCAGCTGATTTTCTCTCCTTCGAGCCTCAGGACACCTGTAAGTTTGGCAGGGCTTACTGTGCATCAGAGACGTTGTGTCATCTACCTGAGGCCACACAGCAGGAGTGGCGGAGCTGCCTCCTCGCTCCCATCCTCACCGCGCCCATCCTTTTGCTTTGCAGAGAAAATCTATATCATGAAGGCCGACACAGTGATTGTGGGGACCGTGAAGACGGAGGTGCCCGAGGGCCGGGGCCTGGCGGGGCCGGCAGAGCCTGAGCTCGAAGAGGACCTGGAAGTGGACCATGCGCCTCACTACCCGGAGCAGGAGACCGAACCGCCTCTGGGCAGTTGCGGGAGTGTCATGTTTTCGGTCGAGGAGGAGGGAAAGGAGGACCCCTTGCCCATGACTGCCTCTGAGAAATGAGGCCTGGCCCGGGCTGGGGCTGAGGGCTGCTGGGTGCTCCCTGGGAGGCCAGCGGGGCACTGGTAGCACCACGCTGGTGGCAGAGGCCCATCCGGCCTGAACTGAGTTTCCAGCATCTGGTGGTAGACCAGCCTGGCAATGCAGGAGGGCTTCTGGGGGTCTCTACCTGCAGCCCCTCCCAGCTGCCTCCTAGCCCCAGCCCTAGGGGAGTGGGTCATATAGGGGCTGGATCTGAGTGGCGATATTTGTTGGGGCAACAGACAGACGGCAGGGAGCGGACGCCCTGCTTTCTGTACGGCTGAGAAAATGCCCCAGAGCCCCGGGCGTCAGATACACTCACAGGGCCAGAGCCCACATGAGGCAGAGGACACGAGGCCCGGACCCCATGCCTTCTCCCCTCGCCCTGGACCTCAGGAGTGACAGCCACTGGGCCTTGCTGACACGCCAACCATCACCAGATGCTATAAATGTGCCCCCTGCCATGACATTGAGCAAGTACTTGTGGTTTCTCCTGAGTTGAAAGGGAAGTAGAGGGATGGGGTATAGCTGGCTGGCCCCATCTCGGCCACAAATGCTGTGTTGCGCTCTGTGCCCTATGCCCAGCCTGGCCTCCAGCCCTGTTTGGGCTGAGTGGAACTTCCTGGTGCCACCCGACTTCCTTGTTCTGTAGCCCCCACAGGGGGCCTAGGACCAACTCACTCATGTCAGAGCGTCCCTACCAGTCCCCTCAGCAGGAGGCATCAGGACCAGATATCTGCGGACCCTCAGCAGCTGCAGCGCCCCGCCCCGAGACCCTGCCCACCCCGCTGCCACCTGGAGCAGGGCCTGTTCTGCTTCGCCCAGGGGCTGCTTCCGCACCCAGAGGAGGGGGACCGTGGGCCCTTCCCAGGTCCTTGCCTACTCGGTGGGTGCCACCCTCTCCGTCTCTTCCCCAGATCTGCCACACACAAGGTCCCTATAGTACCAGGTCCTACCCTCTGGCTGCAGCTGCTCAGCACCCTGGTTGGGATGTGATGTCAAAAGCCACATTCTGCCTTATTCTGGACTGCCCTCGTCTGCTGGCCTGCTGTCCCCAGGGCTTTTGGACAAACAAGTGGCCTTGGAAAGGGAGGGCTGGGCAGATGGCAAGTCTGTGGCAGCCTGGGGCATTGAGCCTCAGGTCACCTCGACACCCTTGGAATTACCCTCTGGAAGCCAGGCCCAACACTCCTGTTTACTCACCAGCCTTCTTGTCTCTGGAGGAAGTTGGGGCTGGGCCGGGAATCACGAGGGTGGTTTCTGAAACCACTCAGATGTTTTGGGGAAAGTTGGAGTGGCTGAGACACTGCGAGAGGCGGTTACACCAAAACCTGAAGAAATTTACATGGGATGGACATTTGCCAAAGTGCCTTGTGCAAGGACAGTGTGGGCAGCTCTGTGCCCCTGAGCCGCCTCCGCGTGGTACCTGAGGATGCCACACACCCAGTGGGCAGGGGCTCAGGCTGTCCTGAGGTGAGGATTGTAGACATGTTTAGTGAAATAATACACTCCCTGGCCCCAGGGCCTTTCATAAAACTTTTTTCCTTCCGGCTTTGTTGAAACATAATAGACAATTAGTTGCTCGTATTGACATTGTACAATTCAATGAGTTTTTTTTTTCAATTGTAGTTGGCATTCAGTAATATACCAGTTTCGGTCATGCCGCATAGCGATAAGAGATCCACAACTCGCAAAGTGATCACCCCACTAAATCCAGTGCCCCTCTTCCCCCTTACATATTTACTACAACATTATTAACCATCTGCCCCATGCTACGCGCTACATCTCCATGTCTACTCTGCGACTATCCATTTGCACCTCTTAATCCTTTTGCCTCTTTTTTGCTGTCCCCCTGCAACTGCCCTCCCGTCTAGTAGCCCTCAAAATAGTCTGTGTATCTGAGTTTATTTCCCCTTTTATTGTTGTTTTTAGAATCCAAATGTACGTGAAATCATGCGACCTTCATCTTTCTCTATCCGACCCATTTCATTCAGCGCACTTTTAATCTGAAGTGAGTCTTTTGTAGGCAGCATATATAGGGGTCTTGTTTCTTATTCATTCATTCACTCTATCTTTTGGTGGGAGCACTTAATTCTTTTCCCTTTGAGGTACTTGTTGATAGGAATGTAGTTATCACCATTCTTTATTCCTGTTTTTGATACATATTTTTTCTTCTTAAAGAAGTTCCTCCAACATTTCCTGTAATATTGGCTTGGTGTTGATAAATTTCTTTAGCTTATTTTTGTCTGAGAAGCTCTATCTATCCTTCGATTCTAAATGATAGCTTGGTTGGAGAAAGTATTCTTGGTTGTAGATCCTGGGTTTCATCACATCAGATATTTTGTGCCAAGCCCTTCTGTCCTGCATAGTTTCTTTTGAGAAATCAGCTGCCAGTCTTATAGGTGCTCCCTTGTAAGTAACTAACTGCTTTTATCTTGCTTTTAAGATTCTCTCTTTGTAGTTAACCTTTGGCATTTTAATTATGATGTGTCTTGGTGTGGGCCTCTTTGGGTTCATCTTTCTTGGGATTCTTTGACCTTCCTGGGCTTGTATGTCTATTTCTTTCACCAGGTGAGGGAAGTTTTCCATCATTATTTCTTCAAATGATCTTCAACGTCTTGTTTTCCTTCGGGTACCCCTATGACACAGATATTTTTACATTTAATAGTGTCCCATAGCCTCCTTAAATTATTATTATAGTCTTGTCTTTTTTTCTTGCCATTCTGATTGAGCGTCCTTGGCTTCCCCATCCTCTATCTCGATGGTTTGATCCTCTTCTTTATCCACTCTGTTTATTCCATCTAATATAATTTTCAGCTCAGATAATGTGTTCTTTATTTCTGACTGGTTCCTTTTTATAATTTCCATTTCCATTGTTATGTTTTTATCTCTCTGTTACAGTTCTCACTGAATTCATCTACACTTCCCCTAAGTTCATTGAGCATCTTTATAACGAGTGTTTTGAACTTTGCATCTGTTAGATTCCTTGACTCCATTATTCCTGGATCTCTGTTCTTTCATGTGATTCCTGCTTGTCTTCCTATTTTGGCTGCCTTTCTGTGTCTGTTTCTATGCAGTAAGCAAAGTTCCTAAGTCTCCATTCTTATTAGTGCGGCTCTGTGTGGTAGGTGTCCAGTGGCACAATCCTGAGAGGGGTTTAGCTGCAGGCCGAGTCCCAGCCTGTGCCCCTCCATGGCCACCTGGTAAGATTCAGCAAGCAATCCACACATGCTGTGCTTATAGTTGCCTCGAGAGGCCACACCAGAAACCGAGGCCAGCTGCGAGCAGTGTGAGTCTTGGTGCTGCTCAACAAGGAGCACCTTGTTGACTCCCCGAGGACACATCTGGATGTGGCTTGGGTGTGAGTTGGGGGAGGCAGAGTTTCGGGGAATCCTTTGGGCAGAATAACCTCTGTTACCCAGTCTGATGCTCGTCTCCGCTGTGGTGGCACTGAGTCCGCTCACTGGGAGGAGTGAGGGCTCAGCAGAGGAACAATGGATGCCGCTGGCACTTCTGTCCAGGAGAGAGCCTCGCCTCCGGCCCTCACTCTGACAACTCAGTGTCCCCCTGTAAGTCCCTGGTGCCCCCTGAGCAGCTGACCCGGTGCTGGTTCTCAGAGCGAGCAGGTTGGTCACTGAGGAAGTCCGCTTGTGGACATGGCCCCTTTATGAGGTGTCTGCAGCTGCCGCTGCCGTAGCCTCTGTCCCACTCAGCCTCTGGGGACCGGGCGGCCTCGCGTCTTTGCCCCCTCCTACCTCCTACTGTTGCAGGCGGATTGATTACTTCTCTCCGTAGTCATGGGGCTTCTGTTTGTCTCGATCCCAGGTGACTGTGCTGTTTGCTCTGTGTTTCTGTCATACCTTTGAAACTTTTGATCCTTTAAAAATTCATAAGGTCCCTTAAAAATGATCGTAGAGCTAAGGAAACACTCACTGAGACTGAGAATATTGGAGAAGCTCCGAGGACAGTGGTTCACCCTCTTCATCCCTCTGCACCAGCCTCAGGGGACAGGGAGCCCACCGCCTGCTGGGGCAGCCCCTTCATGGCTGCTGGTTCTTCTTTATCCTTCCTCCATGTAACTCCCACTCCCTGGTTCGAGGCCTGCCTTTGAGGATACTCAGAATAAAGCTGCTCTACACGAAGCTCCCTTTGAGAATTTGCAGAAAGGGACCCCGGGCATTTCCAGGGCCTGCCCCTCTCGGAGCTGAGCAGAGCAGCCCCACAGCATGGCGCAAGGGGTTACAAAAGCAGTGTGAATGCCCCAGCCTGGAGGGGCAGGGAGAGGACTGAGGGGTTAATATGAGCTTGGGGCTTCATGCCTGAGCTGGGAGGGGCCCAGGCTGTCCCCCTGGTCACAACTCACGGACAATTTGGGGCCTACTCCCCACCACAGGCAGCCAGCCTGGGGCCCCTCTGACTGGCTGCCCTGTAGGGTGATGGAAGGAGACCTAGGGTCATGGTCGGACCTTACCTACCCCACCCCCAGGACTCCAGGTCTTGCCCAGACCTCAGGGTTGAACCGTCTGTCGGAGGGCCAGGCCTACCACTAGCCCTGCCTACCAGCGATGAGGGCCCTTCTTAACTTCTGGCTATTCTGACATCCAGGTGAGCAGATGAACAAGGTTCCTTGCTATGCAGGGCGGAAGTTCCCAGGCTGTTTGGGACCTCTCACACACGTTCACCCTCTTCCTGAACAACTGAAGTCAGGGAATGACAGTGAGTGACAAGTGGCCTGCAGCAGCTATTGCATTGAAAGAAAGCCTGCTGTTTGCCAGGCAGTCTTGTGGGCAGGAAACTCGGTAGGTTCTTAGCATCTCCGAGGCCAGGGCTCACCCCTCAAACAGAGCAAATCGCCGAATCTCCAGAGCATTTCTCTCCTTTTCCCACCCTTCCCGGGATGGCGTCTCGGTCATTTCTGTCCCACAGTCACCAGGAACTGCTTTGTTGGGCTGAATAGGAACGACAACTGTGCAGAGACAGACATGTAACAGTTGGGGAAGTGTTGGGGAGGG